TATCTTTCGGTTTGTTTGACGTGTTTCGTCTTTTCGTAATTTCATTGGTTCGACAAGGATGTAAGCAGGATGAGGCGATGATTTTATTCACTTTTTTTCAAACCTACCAGCGAAAACAATAAGTTTAGGGCTAAACCGGGATTATTGTAAAAGACCAAACTTCATAATTTTGTTTGTTTGACGTTTTTCGTCTTTTCGTAATGTCATTGGTTCGACAAGGATGTAAGCAGGGTGAGGCGATGATTTTATTCACTTTTTTTCAAACCTACCAGTGAAAACAATAAGTTTAGGGCTAAACCGGGATTATTGTAAAAGACCAAACTTCACATTATGCTGTACGTAGTATGTTTGAAGTCTTTTCGTTCGACTCGCACACCAACAGCCACCACCTATTTTATGATAAATCCAGTTATATATTTTTCTTACGATCTAAATATACAGAGTAATTTGATAATGATTGGGTTACTTATATTTTTACATTTTTTTTACCTAGAATATAAGGAGATGCTCTAACATACTCGTTTTTCCAGTGGAGTATTGAGTTTCACAGTTATTATGAAACCACACATGCGTGTAATGTTACTGATTTTTTTTAAAACCTGTAATTCTTCCTAAAACACGGAAGCATAATAATTAAGGGAAAGGGTTAAAGTCCGGTTGAAAAAATGCTTTATAAAGGTGTACGTCTGAAGTGGCGTCAAGTGTTTTAAGCAAGATGGATTTATTTACCGTCGGAACATAATGGCTTGTACAGCCTGTGAACAATATGCAAAGCCGTGTTCATAAAGTTGTATTCAGTAGGCACCACGGCGTCGCCCTTACTAGTTATGACGACTCTATGCAAATGAACCCTATTCAGAACATTGAAACAAAAGCCTGGACCGAAAAAAGTGGAGGGGCATTGGTAATTATAACAGAAACAATATCTACCACCCACATAACGATTGTCTTCATAAGAATTGTCTTAAACGCGTGGATTTTTTGTCTACTCCTGTTGTTCATTTTTCGTTTTTCACTGCCATTTTATTCAATTGTCTATAAAGTGCCAAGGGTTGACAAAAAAGCATTTTTTGTTCAACGATGAAATAATTTGCACATTTCACTATACTTTCAATGAATAGATTAAGTAGAAAATGTGTATATATTTTTATTTATTTATTTTTCAGAAAAAAAATTTGTAAACTTAGGCATGATTAAATAATCGGATCATGGGCTTAATGATCGGCGTCCTATGGGAACGACTCGTCATCCGCCCTTTATCTCTGGGTAAACATTTATGAAAGTTCTTTTCGCCGACCACCCCTTCCTCGGATTCTAAAGCAGGGTAAATATGAAGATAAGGGATGACGGAGGGTTGTGGGCAGCGCGGAGGCCCTGGGAATTCAGCCATCGAGCGCATCCTTCGCATTGTTCCTCCGAACTCCTGACGTGCCTCCTGCATATCGGGCATCTTAGGTCCAAAACCGTCAAAGGACTTATTGCCAAGCGAATTACTTAGATTTTGATGACTATTGGATTTTGTTCCCAAATGGCATGATCAGGGATGTAAGCAGGATGAGGCACCGTTTTTTCCATTTATCCAAACCTACAACGGCCAGGATAGGTAGACCAGATTATCATCAAACCAACCGTTATCAAATCAAGGATTAACAATTTTTTGGTTCAGATCTGTTTCGGCTTTTCTCTTTTTCAAGTGCCCAGTCAAGGGTTTAAGCAGGTTGAGACAACGATTATTTCTACTTATTCCAAATTCTCCAGTGAAAACGGCGAGTAAGAAATTCAAAGATTATTCGGATGAGACCTAACATTATATTTTAGTTTGTCTGATGCGTTTTGGCTTTTCTCTATTTCCGGTGGTTGGTCGGGGATGTAAAGCAGGGTGAGACCACGATTCGTTCCGTTTAACCAAACCTAACAGTGCAAACGGTGATATAGCGGTAAACAAGGAATGTCGGTAAGAGGTTGATCAAGGATATAAGCAGGGTGACGAGACAATTCTCTTCAGTTATACCAAACCCACAAGTGAAATCGGCGAGGTCCAGGATCATCGAAAAGCACCAAACTACAAGTCTTTCGGTAGACTCCTCCTTCCAGTCAGGTTAGTTTGTTAGAAGCGTTTCTGGTTTTTGTTATTTTTATTTGTTGGTCAAGAACATAAGCAGGTTGAAGCAACAATATTTTACATTTATTCCAAATCTAACAGAGAAATCTGCGATGTTAGGCTGACGATAAATATAGAAAAGGACAAAATCTCATATTTTGGTTTGTCGGACACGTTTCGGTTTTTCTGTTTCAAGTGGTTGGTTGGGGTTAAAGCAGGGTGATAAAATAATGTTTTCCTGTATTCCTATCCCAACTACGAAACAGACAAGGTTAAGCAAACCAGTACTGTAAAACCAAAACCTCGAAATATTTTGGTTTTATAGACGCATTGCCGTGGTTTCCTATTTCCAGTGGTTGGCCAGGGATATAAGCAGGGTGAGGCGACGGTTTTCCATGTATATTTAACCGCCGTGTGAAAAGAACGAGATTACTCTGGCCTAGATTATAGAAAAGGACAAAAGTTCATATTTTGGTTTGTCAGGCTCTTTTAGGCTTTTCTTTATTTTATTTCCTTGGATCAAAGAAATTAATAATGTCAGCCAATTGTACTTTCTATTTATTCTATACCAGTGAAAAAGGCTAGTAATGACAAACGAGGATTATCGGGCCAAACTACATGTTTTGTTGGAACATTGAAATTTTTTTGTTTCCTTTGCTTTTAGTTCAGACGCGTTTCGGGGTTTTGATATTTATTGGGCAAGGATATAAGAAGGGTAAGGTAACAATTTTTTACATTTATTCTAAATTCACCAGTGAAATTTTTTAGGTTACGATTCTTTCCGTTTAACCAAATGAAACTGTGTAAACGGCGGTGTCAGGTAGACTAAGATTATAGAAAAGGATCACACTTCATATTTTTTGTGACCTTTGCCTTAACAGCCATAGTCATGTATCAATTTATTTATTCCACTACATAATTAATTCTCATACATTGTGACCAATCTTTTTAAAGAACTATACTACATGACGGTACCACAATATCAAATCACCCGACTCCAAAATTGTGTTAAATTGAGTGGTAGCTTCAAAAATTTCTTTATAGAGTTTGTCAGCGTTTTCCTTTCTTCAGCATATTTGTCGCACTACAATAATAGATGTTCATACGATTCCACCATCGAATATGAGTCACATAGGTCTGTCCTCCCCCTTTTAATTTTGTATGGATATTCCTTACAAATTGCATAGTTTGCTCGTAATATACATATAAGTCTAACCGTATGTTTTGTCACCCTTTCCCCCTTGAACCAGCATGTCCCACATCTACTTTGTCATTGCTTTCGATTTGGTTTTGCCATTTATTTTTTAGCAAGCCATATATAATTCAAAAGATAAATGGTGGAATGAGTGTGTTGTTCAATCTTTTTAAAAAGATAGTTTGTACTCACAGTAAGTCGGTTTAAACGATCCGACTTTCGAGCCTACAGCACATCATTAGGTTGAAGGAGCTCTACAACCACGTCTCTCAACATGGATTGCAAGATCATAAACCATCATGCGCAAAGGCACTGTATATTAAGTACACGAGCAGATATAGGCAAAGTAAGTGGATGTCTTGTAGAGCTCCTTCAAGCTGATGATGAGCTGTAGGCTCGAAATCCAGATGGATGAAAATAACTTATTGTGAGTAGGAACTATTTTTTTAAAAATAGCCATATAATTCTGTGAATGAAGTTTAATTTCGATCCTTTGCCTAATATATTTTCACTATTTCCAGGGGTCGAGGATATAAGCAGGGAGATGCTACGATTTTTTAAATTTATTCCAAACCGACCGGTAAAAGCGAGGATTTTTGGAAAGAACCAAACTAGTTTTTATAGTTTCTTCTTTTCCAATTATTTTCGTTTGTGAAATTCAACTCTTGCTAAAAATAATTTTAGTTTTTAAAAGTTATAAATTGATTTGATTTATTTTAAAATACCCAATTTAAACTTGAATTTATCTTTAAAATCCTTTATTTTACAAGAAAATCCATTGAGTTATTCTGAGCAAAAGCAACATTATTAACTTAGTAACATTATTTTCAGTCGTTTAAAAGTCCATCCATTTCAAAACGACGAGTGTTAATGAGTTTACAACAAACTTAGCACTTAAAGATGGAATATTCCTGCAGGATACTTTGTAATCCGTCAAAAATATTTCAAAATCGACTGACGAACAGTACCGATTTTAAAAAATATTAATAAATCAAATTTTATGTAATATATAAACTGATAATTCACCTTATTTGATGTGACAGAATGTAATTTTAACGTAATCCTTTCCGATTTCTCTTAATCACGGATCCTGTCGTATAAACGAGGTGACAAATGGTTCAACTATCCTTTAACAATTAATCAGTGGCCAAGTCGGTAGAATTAAAGGATAGAGACTCTCGCAAACCTCTCCTGGACCCTCTATTGACTAATGGTCAGCACTTCCAACTCCCTGATTGCGAAACCCGCAGATCGATTTTACCAACAAAGGTCTCCGTTAATTCAAATATCAATATATCGTCCATTAGGGGCTATTTACGTTACTCTCTGTGCACGAAGAGGTGAATTGATGCAATGTTTGCACAAAGCGATACCTTGTTTTTTGTAACAGTATCTGACGTTAAGTAATCATGAGGTTCTTTATGTTAATTTTTTTAAATATTAAACTTTATATACTTGACTCGTATTTAACGTTCCTGTTAGTGTTCTGTATTCAAACAAGGCCCCAAGCTCAGCCTTGGCAATAATAGCTATTCATTACTCAATGAAAGTTATAATTAGTCCCAGCTACGTTTCAGTTCCCAGACACTTCCTCCAGTAGGCACATTTCGTTGAGGTATATTTTTTTCTGCGACCGTTTAATCTTAAAATAATTTCATAATTTGAATATATTGTTTATTAAATATAATTATTATATTTTTTCAGGTTATCTCGTGTTTCTGCACGATAACAAGGTGAGTTTTAAACCATCAACATTTATAAACAATCCATTTATGTTTAGTGGTCCAATTGACCATTTTAATTATTTCAATTAATTACTCGTTATATATAAGGTCTTGGTTGAGATGAAAAAGTTAATGTCACGAGCGGAATTCGAACCCACGACCTTTGGCTCAAGACGCCGATGCTCTAACCATCTGAGCTATCGTGACTTCGATCCACACGGAAACCAACTCAACCTACGGTAGGCGAAAGTCGTGAGTTCGAATCCCGCTCGTTACATTAGCTTTTTCGTCTCTGGGGTCAGACCTGGGTCTTATCTGCCCTATAATATAAGTTAGGCCCCTGTCAATAACTTATTTCGCGCCTTACTCATGTGGGTTTTTTTTACTTAGGCCCATTCTATTCCATTCTTATCTATTTGCATAACATTTTCGTCAAGGAGGATAGTTGAATACTCGGTATTTTTCTATCAATATTCTACTCTTATATCATTCACTCTAATAAATACTTCAATTATTCTTTTACTTAAGGTCTTGGTTGAAACGAAAAAGCTAATGTCACGAGCGTGATTCGAACTCACGACTTTCAGCTGCGAAAGGTCGTAGGTTGAGATGGGGAGAGCAGCGGCGTATTGAGCCGAAGGTCGTGGGTTCGAATCCCATGCCACACCTACTTTCATTAGGAATATTTATTAAAAGAGAAGCGAGGAAAAATCTCCAGACACAGTCAAACTAGATGGCAATTAAACACTTCGGACACAGCAATAACTAATAAAATCAGCCATCTATTCTTCGAAATGAAGGACTGGCTACTTGATTCCGGAAACACTCTTTACAACATCCCTTAAAGTCTCAACAGACTACAAAGGAAAACAAGAAATCAGAAGGAGATTAGATTATATATGTTATACAGATAGTACCAAAACATATGAAAAACAGGATCGGGTGTTTTCTATACAAGCACAAAACATGAGCAATCAAACTCATTAAAGAAATACACCTTGCTCTGTCAAGCTTAAACACATGCCATCAATATTTATGCCTTAGAAAATCTTTCAGAAAATAGCATGTAAAACATCACAGCAAAATTAGTCAGGGAATTCAGCTAAAATCTTCAAAACCAGAGGAAACACAACCCGATGATGGATACAGGATAAAGTGGTATACACACAGAATGACACGATTATTTACCCGTCCGCATCTGAGAAAACATCTAAATAACTGGGATATATTTAACGACGACCTCATTTGTAGGTTATGCAATGAGGAGGAAAAACAGCCACCTTTTCATCTTCGAATACGAACCAACCGCTCAATGACTTAATGCAATATTTTCTTGGGAGTTATTTCAAAAATAAAGATTTCTAAAATTTTTCTCCCATAATAATTGTGGAAGTAATAAATACCTTGTGACATATCAGTCTTTATTTGACTTTTTTACATTCCGTAATTGAAGTTCCAACTCGTTTTGAATAAAAGATTGTGATTTGTGATTTATCAGATCTGCACAGTAGGATTTGCAACTTTCACATGGGAATATGATTAGGGTCATTTTCTCATTAGATATCGGCTCGCTATTGCGACTTTGCTCACTTTTCAAGAATATCCCATTTTGATTATAAACCTAATAAAAACGACAATACAGGATGTCCTTTTTAGATGGCCCGGCTGAATTTCTCTCAAATCAATGACTATCAAAAAACAAGAAATACGTGTTTAGTATTTTTTTAGTCTAGTTTCAAATTTATACGTTGTTTTTGGGAAAAATTTTACAGGGTAACTCCTCAACAATCTCCTGGCAAAAGGAGGGAAAACTCATAAGGTGGGGTTGAGATGGGGAGTTGATGTCCGAGTGGATCGAGGTCACGATAGCTCAGGTGGTAGAGCAGCGGCGTATGATCGTGGGTTCGAATCCCTCTCGTGCCATTAACTTTTTTTCATCTCAACTAAAAACCTTAATTAATTTGCAATTATTGTTTCTGGTGGGTCAATTTTCTATAACAAGCCTTTTCGTTTTAAGCTTTAATGTCAACTTAAAGCGGTAAACTTGAAAATTAGAGAATCTTGATAATCAGCTAAGAAATTGACCTGTCAGTTTTAGAACTTGGATCATCAACTTAGTACATCTACACCTGACACCAAAGGACCACGAAATTAGTGAAATTATTTTAAAGGATGTTTTACGCTGAAAACAATGGTGCAATCGAATTTTAAATTGGTCAATTAAATTACAAAAGTTAGGGCAAAAGGTTTTAAAAAACGTATATCGTTTGTTTTTGTTAATTCCAGTAATTTGCTTTTTCACTAAAGTAAATATTAATTGCCTGGTTGGTTGTTCGTTTGTTTCCTAGTTTACATTCTGTCGTCCTTTGTTAAACTCGCATTATGAGAGCAAATCGTAATTCCTGGAATAAATAAATTTTACAACAGTATTCCAAATGGACGGAATAGTACCTTTTTCCGATCAACAACATCATAAGTACTACTGGTTTATTTATAGTGGTAATATTGCGCGTCGTGCTGTCTAGTTGTACTCCTACATATTCCTGATCGCACCAGAATAAACCACAAAACGTTTTTTCGTGTTGCTCGCATTATGAGAAGATACGGGTCAATTGCTGTTCCATTACCAAGAAGCCAGCGTGATTCCGACGAGGAGCTGCATATTTTTCTGTATGTTAGCGAAAATCCGAATTCTTCTCTCCGAAATATTGGAAGGGTTTTAGGTTTTAGAAAAAATTAATTTAGAATTTTCAAAAGATAAATTTAGAGATATTATACTCTGGACTTACTACTTTAAAGGCTGGACCCCACATAACCGCACCGGGCCCGCGACGCGTGACGTCCCACAGTCGGCCGACTTGCGGTGACGGTGACGGAGGAGCCCCACTTGTCTGTACCGTGTTGGACAAATCTCGGTAGTTTAGTAGCTTCAAAGCTACACCGTTAGAAGCTTACATCTTTTCGTTGGGAAAAATGTTTTAAAAATAGTGAATTAGGGATGATAGCACTTGCTATACAATAGTTGTTAATTGGCGAAGAAATCATCGCAGAAGGAGAATAAATGTGAGTTCACAATGCAAGAAAAAAAGATGTGTTGAATTAATGTGATGTTAATTAAATTATTCTGTCTTTATATTCTGTCTTTATTATGTCTGTGTTTTTCATTGGACGTCATACAACACAGGAAACTTTCTTTTCTGACCTCCTCAATTAGTTTTTTTTGCGTTCATTTTACGAAATAAAATTGTACTAAGATTATAAAAAGACAATCGAGAATAAATAGATAAACGAAATATTAAAAAATAATTTCTACACGCCCCTCATACAATTCGTGTCTGTCAAAATCTTAACCAAACTAGTCGGTCACGGTGCGGGCTCGGTGCGGAGATGTGGGGACTAGACACTTCCATTGTCATAATCGGTCTCAGTGCGATGCCAGACAGACGGCCGTCACACGGTGCGGGCTCGGCGCGGTCATGTTGGGTCCGGCCTTAAGCCGTATCGCTCTCACCTTGTCCAGGGACACTTATTAATAACTACTATTAATCCTATAATTAACACTCTGATTATGACGTACAAATGTCGATTTGGGAGGCTTGAGAAAACGTTCTTCCATACATCCTGTAGACTGATTAATTCAAGTTCACCTCTAATAGCTTGCTAAACCGTTGGAATTTGATAACGTGGGCAGAGGAAAATCCGAGAATATCGTACTCTTGTCATCATCAGGTGGTTCACAGTATCACATGTTGGGTGTGGACTTCTCTGAAATAAATTAATTGGTTCTTATTTTTTACGAAAATAGTTTAAATGGTGCTCTGTTCCTCAATTTTATAGGGAGGTTTTACCAACATTATTAGATGATGTTGAAATAATGGTTCTCCAGCTTGATAGATGCCCCGCACACAATTCTTTGCAGGTGAGACGTTATTTGAATCGTCCCTTCCGGGATAGGACCTCATGGCCCGATCTTTTTGATCTCTTCGGTCACCAGATTTAACTCGCCTTGACCTACTCCTATCATAACCCAGCAAACTCAGTTGAAGATGAAATACTTGTCAATTCATGTCCTCTGCCTCTAAGGTGAAGGGTGGTTAAAAAGAGAAATCTTTGCATCTTTACGCAAGGCAGGCAGTTCGGACAAAAAATGTGATTAATAACTAGCAAACGAAATGACTGTTTTTTTTTCAAACGTTTTGCCATAACTTTCTTATTTTTTTGACTAATTTCAAAATCCTATTGCACCATTGTTTTCAGTTTGAAAACTTAAAGGATGATCTATCCAAATGTATAGTCATATTTGAAATTTTGAGGTTTAACTGGGCCTGATGTACACTGTACAATTTTTCTCCAAAAAAGGTACAAATTTGAAACTAGACTAGCAAATACTAAAGACGTATTGTTTATTTTTTTTTATAGAGTCATCGGTTCAAGAGAAATTCAGTCTGGCAATCTATAAAACACACCCTGTATTCTAATTTATTTTTAACAGCTGTTTTATATTGGTCTGTGTATAAGGACTATTACTCAAAAAAATTATTCTGTAGGAGCTTAATCATTAGTCAGTAATATCAGTGTTGTTGTACAAGATTTTTTTTTATAGCGATTGGACTTAAAGATGCTCGTTTTCCCGAACGGCCGAAACTTTTCTTTTTATCTACAAGTGTCAAACTGAGCCAGTTCCTATCAATAGTTCCCCTTGGAAACTCGTACTTTATCAAAATATCGTCCCGCCTTTTTTTCCGCGCGCGCTGAACCCAATCGGAAAGAAACAACTTTGAGGCCCTTTAATTCTTCAAAGTCAAAAGTTTTTGACAAAAAGCTTTTATGGTAAAGGAGTAGTTTTTTTTACATAAAGGGACAATAAGACAGAAGACCTGAACCTATATAAAGAAACTTTCCCTATTGACTTCTTGAGCGAGAGAAATCGTGTTTTCAACTTATTTGAATATCCGAAGAGAGGTTCTTACAATATTTATTTGCCTGTAAAATTTTCATGATGGACTGTAAAGTTTTGTAATCATCTAAAACCTAAGTTTTCTAAACTTGGCTGTATTTATTTGACTATTTTTTACAAATCTACAAAAGAGTGTTAATGATTGACGATTTTAGCAATGTTTTTATTGTTTAAATTTCTTTAGAAATAAGAAGAACGATCCAATCAAAATATGGCCTTTAAAATTTTACAAAATTGAATTTTTTGGAAA